TCAAAAAATACAAAATATCCCAAAATTCTTGAAACGTAGACACCAGGATAACTTAGAATATTAAAAATCACGAGTACTTAATAGTAACAATATTTAAACTAACAAAAGTAAAGATCTCTGCTACTAAACTAAGATGAACAGGACTTTGTACTTTGGTACAACTATGCTCCCCTAAGCCAAGGTTCAAGGAAAGCAAAGGTTTCTCTTAGTCCTTCAGTCTGAGCTAAGGGACAACAAAACTTACTTTTGTACTTAACTTACTTTCCTTTCCTTTTAGTCCTTGTTCTCCACTAAAGTAAAATGGAACTTACTTTTATACTAAAATTACCATCCTTTCCTCTTAGTCCTGGTTCTAAACTAAGGGACAATGGAACTTACTTTTGTACTAAAATTACCATCCTTTCCTCTNAGTCCTTCAGTCTGAGCTAAGGGACAACAAAACTTACTTTTGTACTTAACTTACTTTCCTTTCCTTTTAGTCCTTGTTCTCCACTAAAGTAAAATGGAACTTACTTTTATACTAAAATTACCATCCTTTCCTCTTAGTCCTGGTTCTAAACTAAGGGACAATGGAACTTACTTTTGTACTAAAATTACCATCCTTTCCTCTCAATCCTGGTTCGCCTTTCTCGCCCTAAACAGAGATACAACGAAATATAGACATATACTTTGTTTATGGGGATATAAAATATGTTGCTGTGAATGACAATTGTGGCAATTTTTGATAACATGTTTCTGGTTTTGCCAAAGAAATCACCGCTGTCGATGATCTTCTAGCTGAACAGAAAANTTATCTACTTTCGTTCATTGAGGTGCTCTTTACTTTTAATTAAACCAGAAAAAAAGATGGAGCCAAAAACGTCTCGTTTCTGTCACTAAGATACTCTTACAAAATATATCTTTTGCTCTTGACATTTTTCTCTGATTAATTTCTTTGATGGAGTTTGCAATTTCTTGAGTACAACTGACGGAAATTCGACAAAATACTATAATCTCAAAAAATACAAAATATCCCAAAATTCTTGAAACGTAGACACCAGGATAACTTAGAATATTAAAAATCATGAGTACTTAATAATAACAATATTTAAAATAACAAAAGTAAGGATCTCTGCTAAACTAAGATAAACAAGACTTTGTACTTTCGTACAACTGTGCTCCCCTAAGCCAAGGTTCAAGGAAAGTAAAAGTTTCTCTTACTCTTTCAGTCTGAGCTAAGGGACAACAAAACTTACTTTTGCACTAAACTTACTATCCTTTCCTTTTAGTCCTTGTTCTACACTAAAGGAAAATGGAACTTAATTTTGTACTAAAATTACCATCCTTTCCTCTTAGTCTTGGTTCTAAACTGAGGGACAATGGAACGTACTTTTGTACTAATATTACCCTCTTTTCCTCTTAGTCCTGGTTCTAAGCTAAGGGACAATGAAACTTAGCTTACTTTTGTAATAAAACTACCATCCTTTCCTGATAGTCCTGGTTCTAAACTAAGGGACAATGGAACTTACTTTTGTACTAAAATTACCACCCTTTCCTTTCATTCCTGGTTCGCCTTTCTCGCCCTAAACAAAGATACAACGAAATATAGACATCTACTTTGTCTATGGGGATATAAACTATGTTGCTGTGAATGACAATTGTGACAAGTTTTGATAACATGTTTCTGGTTTTGCCAAAGAAATCACCGCTGTCGATGATCTTCTAGCTGAACAGAAAAGCTCTGGTTAATTGGATTGATTTATTTCCATCACTAAGCTTTAAAAGTGCAATCACGCGTGGTAGAGAGGTTTTACTTAACCCGTTAAATAGGAAGTGGAATTGTACCACCCACAACTTCGTATTAATTTCTAGCACCCCCCTATAGTTAGTAATTCTTTTGTTTTCTAGTCTTTGTTTTTGTATGCCACGCACTAATACTAATTAGCAGACAATATTACACACTAACTTGTAGTTTCTGTTTCACGGGTTTAGTAAAATCACTCTATATGATAAACCTCAGGTCTTTTGTCTTTTTTGTTTATTTGTTTGTTTGTTTGTTTGTTTTTTTAAATGAAGAAAAAAAATTGAAGTACCAAGATTTTACTTCGTTGATTTGATTTTTTATTGTCTCTTCGAGCAAAAAACTAATTAGATAAGTGGATCGAGGAGGAGGCAATGCTTGATGCTATATCAAAAAGAAGGTGGAAATCATTGCAGAGTTTTGCTTTTCGATTAAACTTTGCCAACCTTGATAGAAGCGTTGCCATCCATGGTACATGTCCCTAATTCGCCTTTCTCCCCCTGATGAATGAAAAAGATAAATATATGAACTAATACAGGTGGCCATCCGTGTTGTAAGAGAAAACTATTATGCACGTTTTGATATAATATAAATACTACACGATACTAGGGCAGTTCTAAAAATCTCAAATTATGAAGTAGTAGTTCACAATGTATAATTTTGCCTTTCATCTGTTGAAAAGTACACTACTACGACCTAATCACAATCCTGAACATAATGTTACCATCCTTAGGTCCACGCGTCCCATCACGTCCATCACGACCATCTTTCCCTGTCAATATTGAATAGCGACCAATAGGAAATAAAAATATGTGTTAGGTAGACAACTCTGTAAATTCCCAGTGGTCATCAGTATCATTGCATAAAAAGGATTTCGTTATTGAGATCTTCTGTCAATTACTTGTGGTAAGAAAATAAACAAAAATAGAGTGAGATTGCAGAGACGTTGTTCTCGTGAATACACTTAAACATGAATTTGCAAAGCAAACTCGGAAGGCGTAGCTCGAGATAATCAGATTTGACTCTGTTGTCCACAATTAATTTCTTTACAATTTTTATTAATCACGATAATGAAGCGTGCATGAGGTCTTCCTTTCTTCCTGAGGAAGTAAATTTTCATGTTCTCCTTACTGTGGTTTTGTGTTAACGGTGTGAAATCATATATCAAATAATATATATATATAATTTCAGACAAACGCAATTTTAATACAAACAGTATTGTCAGGAGCTTCTCAAATGGCGAATCTTGAACAAATCCCGTGATCTCCAGGCAGCGCTTTGCTCGGGATCGCTTCAACTCATTGCCAAGTTCTCTTGAGAAAACAAAGTTAACTAATCGATCCAGTCATTGCCATATTTTTCTCTAAAATTACACAGTAATTATAGGAGAATATTTCAACTGGGGTTGAAAATAATCACGCTCAAATCTCTTTGAAAGCAGCTCAAATATTGAAATGAATCCGCACTGAGAATTTTTCAGTCAGCGCTGTTGATAATTGACAATTCATAAATCAATTTTGTGAGTTAATTCCAGGGGCAGACATCTCTGCAAAATTTTTGGCTTTACTCTGTTACCTACACACGCGGAAGTTCCACTTAACAAATTGACGTCAGTTTTTTTACGCGTTTGTCCTCTTATTGATGATAAACTGCGTCATAACATTATCAAAATGGCTGTGGAACCACGAGCCGCAGTAAACTTTGACGATGTTATGACGAAATTTATCATCAATAAGAGGACAGACGCATTAAAAAAACTGACGTCAATTTGTTAATTTGTCGCTCTCCCGTGGGTGGGGCATTAGCACTTTTCTCATGGCCCCACCCAGGGGATTTTGTGGCGCCAGCTGCAAAACGGTGGGGCATTTGCCGCCTTCTGAAAACAAAATGTCAAATACCCGTCAGCTGTCCAGGTGGTGGAAAGAGTGGGCTTGGAATTGACAG